TTATAAAAAAATTATTAAAAAAATTAAATAATAATAATAATAATAATAATATATTTTCTCATTTAAAAAAATAAACTTTTGAATAACTAACATAGGCTTTAAAAAAACAATATAACCCTAATTCCCCCACACAAGATCAATAGCATTTTGGAGGGAGTTTTCTTCAATTTCTAGGGCTTCTTCCTCATCTCCCCAAGGTATACTCTCTTCTTGATCTTGTAATTTTATTTTTTTTTCATTTTGATTTTGAAGGTATACATGAATAATCTAGTGGATGAATCATGAATAGTTTTGAATTATTAACATAGTTGGTGTTGATTCATGATAAAAATTGATCAAATTGAGGGTTTAATTTGGGGATTTTGTACAAAATCCGAAAATTTGGGGGTTTATACAAAATCTAAAAAATTCTTAGGGGGTTTTGTGCAAAAACAAAAAAATGAACTTGGAACTCAATTGAGGATATCTTGTAAAAAAATTTGAATTTTTTAGGGTGTTTTATGTAAATTCGAAAAAAATTGGGGGAGGTTTATGTAAAAATAAAACTTGAATTTGGGATGTTCTGTGCAAACAATTCAAAAAAAATGCCAATCATTTTAACATTTGTAAGGTTTAGCTTATAATTGTCATATCAACATGTATGTTTCACCGATCAAGTTATCAAAATTTTAACATTTTTGTTCTAAAAGAACAATTTTGAGGAAATTTATTGTTTCACCGATCAAGTTATCAAAATTTTAACATTTTTGTTCTAAAAGAACAATTTTGAGGAAATTTATTGTTTTGGATAAGAATGATCGATTCATTCTTATCTTCAGTTGTAACCACTTAACCACGTTCTTGGATGATATTTTATCGGTTGGAACAAATCCAGGTGGTTAACGGTCGAAAAATAGCTTAAATCTACCAAAACCTATTTTTGGGGCTACGGACACCCGTGGGTGTCTTACCCAAGCCTTGGCCGAGACACCTCTTGGTGTCTCAGCTAAACTTTGGCCGAGACACCTATGGGTGTCTCGCTAAGGCCTGGAGCATTGTTCCGCGTGTTCTATCCGTTTTTGCTATATCTTCGTCATCCGAACTCGAAATCATGCGATTCAAAATGTATCGGAAAGCCGACGAGGAGATCTACATGCTTCCATGATTGACTCATATGTGGACTAATAGGACATGAGGGGCACTTCGTCTTTCGTAAGTGACGCGTAGCTCTTGATCCATTCGTGTTTCCGTTATTCCAAAGTTCCATTGCTTTGCATCGTTCATTGACTCACTTCATGTCCTTGTCATCGTCAAATGAGCTTATGTGATTCGGATAGCAACGTTCATCATCTTCTCTCTATCTTGAGCCACGTGCGGGGACCTATAGGCGATTTTTGACGCCTACAGTCTTTAGTCTGAAGTAATCAATGGGGTCAATCCTATGTGTGTGTATGTGTGTGTATCAAGGCTTTTAACAAATATTCTAAAGAGAAAATTACAACAATTCTCATATGATTTTGAATGAAGCACTTGATAATAACTCCATCTTTATCTTAGATCTTTGATGTTGCCATTGCCTTTACTTTGTGCTGCTGCATCAAATATGTTGGTCAATTTTCCTTTGTTATCATCAAAACATATAGAGATCTAACAAAACCCTCATATATATCCTATATATCTCAAATTATGGATCGCTAATATCAACTCTAAAATCCTAAGAATACAATAATTAATAAAGAACAATACATTGCCAAGCATCATCCATAACAAATCGTATCATAACAAATCACATTTCCCTCGGGTAGTTGGCGCGGGAACAAAAATAAATATTCGATAAAAGATCTCTTCTAGGATATGTAGTACATAACAAACCATAACCTTATACTCTACCCTCGAGGTAGATAACACAGGAGCAAATTTACAATTTTGTATGATTCCCTACAAAGAAAATGGTGTAGAGTATAGGCGCTCACAATTTCCTATGGCTCATCGCAATATTTTGTGGTCCATTACCTTACTTGAACACCATACAGAGTATAGGCATATCAGCCTAATCCAGAACACAATGATGCATAACAGAGTGTAGTCCACTATGGTCTTGTCCCAGTACACCAACTAACGTACTCTGAGTGTAGTCAACCACGGTCTTGTTATGGTACACCAACTAACCCCACTCAAGCATCCAAAAATTACTGTAAAATGAAACCAATGTTACTCCCTATCATGACAGGCCCAAAATATTAGACTACACACCTCCAAAAGCTCGTGCGTGCTCAAAACAAACGCGTGCATCTCATGGTCACGTACGTTTGTCAACGTATGGCTCATACATCATAATTTGCCATCAAACATGCGTGGAAAGAATCAACATATACAAAACAGCTCAAATCGGTCGACCAAAATACCCCATCGGTCAACTGGCAGCAACGTGCACGAATATGCACACACAAACAAGCCCTGATGGGTCGACTAATGCGCATGTTTAGTCAACGTGGAAAGAATCAACATATACAAAAAAAACTCCAATACTGCATTCCAATTGAGCGGCTGCTTACTTTGATCAGTCGACCAATTCTGGTGACAGATCAAAATTTAGGGTTTTCTCTATAATTACCAAAAACCGAAATTTTTCAAAAGAACACATGTACAAAGATCTTGTTTAGGGTATTTAGGGCTTACTTTACTACATGAAATCACAATTATCAACTTGAAGGGATCTACTAACCCTAGAATGTTTATTTTTGTAAAATCATCATGAAAACAAATAACTTTAACAAAATCTCTTGTTAGATGTAATTCAAATCTTAAACCCAAATCAAAGAAATCTGCTTCATAACTTTTTAAATCAGAAAGATTAAATCTTTACGTCATATAGATAAAAGGGGTGATCTTTACTCATAAAATAAGTTTTAAAAATCCAATAAAACCAAGAAAACGGGGATGGGATTGGAGGAGATGAAACTTGCCTCAAAAATTTTGTGCTGAGCTCCTACACACGTGAGAGACACGATCCTCCTTCACCAAAAGCCGTAGATTTCACCTTCCTATTGGTCTTTTGGCTTCTCAAAGCTTCACCAAACTCAAAAGTGGGATCTCTAGGTTTTTGAGAGGAGGTGGCTGCTATTCAGAACTATGACTCCCCTGATTTCACACGAGGCTACAGTCCAAGGTGAACTTACAAATGTCAAATCAGCCATGCACCCAACACTCTGTAACAACACATTTCACTATCATAGTAATATCTCTCTAGTAGAATCAAATAATAACAGTGTAGGTACAAGTGGATATAAGAAAGGTAAGAATATAAGGAACACAATAAGAAGAAGAGATACCATAAATAACTAAAATCATATTCCAACAGCAGTAATAACAAGTCTGAACCGAAGAAAAAGATATACATCCAATAAACTAAAATGGGAGTAATTAATCTCAAATACAAGAGTCAATTGAAAAGTACACAGGCTCTCACCCTTCAAAATGAAATACAAGTCTGTAAATCAACTAACCAACTACTAGTCTAATGTGGAGCATAAGCTGACTATCAAGAAATAACGGTGACTATACAGAAACTCTGTCAATCGACGGCTCTCCGGAACTCTTATCCGCTTCCTAAAAAGTGGGGAAAATCAACAGCGTCAGAGCACTAGCAAGATCATCTCCATCCACCCCCAGGGGAAGGGCTACAACATATGATGGAGGCTCTACATAATATGCATAGTCTACCTAAACCATTTACCCTGTACTAATTGGGGTTAATATTTAGAATTTTACAACACAAGATGAGTACGTCGAGCAAAATAATCAAAATAAGAAAACTGTCATATATATACTCATGTATTTCAAATTGTGGATCGCTAAATATCAACTCCAAAACTAAGAATAAAAGAATAACGGAATGAAATACTATAATGTCAACCAAAAAAGTAATGTATATCAACCAAACATCTCACACCATCCTTGGGTAGATAATACAGAACATGTACACAATCCTATGTAAACCACAATACAAAAATACTTCGCCGTAATATATCTCAACGGTGAACTACGTTCAAAATCAATTACCACCTAAGACTCAGGCTATCAAGTATTCCACAATGCTATCCCTCGCAAAGTTCTATGATTCATCGCATCATCATGCGGATCAACGTATAGGTGCATCGACCTCTGCGCATCATCATGCAGAAACAATAATATAGGTACATTGACCTCTATGCATACTCATGTGGAAACAATAATACATTACGGAGTGTAGTACACTACGGTCTCATTGTAGTTTATCAACTAATGTCCACTGTCTCATTGCAGTGCACCAACTAACCCCACTCTAGCAACAAAAACTACCATAAAATAGAATAAGCGTTACGCGTGACAACATAAAATATTAGACTACGTTTATAAAGAGGCTCGTGCATACTCAAACCCATTACGTGCACTCTCCTGGTTATGCATGTATATCGAAGTATGACTTACACCTCGTGTTCGCAAATCGGATGCACGAAGAAGAAAACAATATTCACAAACACCACTAGACCGGTCGATCGATATACATCTTCGGACGACTGGTCGGCAACGTGCACTAACATGCACACTCATACTGCCATCAATCGGTCGATCGATACTCAATTTCGGTCGACTTCCCAGAAGGAAATTTTTAGTTTCCTACGGACCAATCGGTCGACCGATTTCTTTTATCGGTTGACCGACCACAGTGAAATTTCAGGTGTTGATTTTTTGTCAATTTATCTCAAAAGTTGTACTTTAATGACATGATTAGTAAAACTTGATTAAATTCTCATAATTACTTAACAAAAGATTAACTAAAACATGACCACATTACTTAAAATTAATAATTCTAGGGTTTAAACATCCTAATTAATAAAACACTTAACTAATTTGATTAACTAGGATTTTAAACCAAATTAAAATGTAATTAAAAATTTAAAATCAACTCTAATGATCATGATCATCTATACTTGTTAATTAAAGATAAAACGTTCTCATCATCTGTTTAAGATTTATCATTATAAACAAGGTGTTAACAAATCAGATTAAGCCCTAATCATTAGATTATTCATATAACACAAAATGACATTATCTTTAGCTAAGGAAAGGTTTTGAGGAAGATGATCTTGCCTTTTCAAATGTGCTGATCTCTTACACGCAAGCAAGACTTGACCCTTCATCACCAAACACCATATATCTCGCTCTCCACTCGGTATTCGCTTCACAAAGCTTTCCCAAACTCAAAAATTAGGGTTAGGGTTTTGAGAGAGAACGTGACTGCTGCTAGGGTTCAGAGATTATGTTGAAAAGGAAAAAAATTTCATGAAAACATGTATTTATATACTTATATGCAATTGGGTCAAAAACCAACCCGAAACTAAACCCCAGAATTCATGCTCATCGGTCGATTAGTTATGAAAATCGATCAACCGATAACTACACATCAGTCGACCAGTTGTTCCCATCGGTCGACCGACCAGAATGAAAATCTAACTTACAGGTTTTGATATATTTTGTGCATGATACTCACATATATGTACGTATTCGATCTCAAATCGATTTCAAACATGCTAATTCATCGCAAAATATTTCCAAACATGATAAAACTCATATTTTATCATTTTAAAATAATATTTCAAAATTTTACGGGGATTTACAAGAACAGGAGAGATGAAAGAAAAGAGATAAATTTGGATGTACATATACATATATGTATGTATGTATGTATGTATGTATGTATGTATGTATAGCTTTAGAGAATCCCATTATGCCACTATATCTTGAAATTCCTCGCTTACAAGCAAAGCTGCTAGGACATCCATAAATGATTCTCTTTCTCTTTCAATTTTGCTTTCTCCAGATGCATTTTTTGCTTGCTCATAATCTGATATCTCGTCATCAGATAAATTATCATCCACATGTTTCATATCTGCTACATCTTCTTCATCTTCAACATAGGCCTTATATGTAAGACGGAGTAATATTTCTCCCGATGCCTGCCGCTTGAAAAAGTTCCAACCACCTTGCAAAACTACAATTTTATCTCAGGCCAACAAGATTATTATGGCTCAGGTTCAACAGGAAAACATATCGTTGAATTTAAAGCTTTGGCGACTATTTGGTCACCAAAATCAACTTAGCCATCTCCAAAACAAAAGCATGATTAAACGAGCATCAAAGTAAAGATTTCTCCGAATATTATTTTAATGAAGAAGCAATTTTTTAATATCATCTATCCCAGGAGAACACACTAAGAGTCATATTGAGATCCAAAGGGGCTTTCGTGAATTAATCGGAACAAAGATCGAACCTTGAGGAACCGGGTAGCGGAGGAGGATCTCGACGGTGAGATCACGTTGGAGTTGTCGCTGAAGGCGGAGGAGGAGCTCGACGACGAGATTGTGGAGGAGGGCTGACAGAGGGCGGGCTGGTGGTGATTTGGTGTCGTGGCGGCGTGGCGTCATCGTCGGAGGACAGAGGAGGAGCTCAACGGAGGAGGGCTGAAGGCGGAGGAGGAGTTCGATGGCGAGATTGCGGAGGAGGAGGGCTGACGGATCACGGGCTGGCGGCATCGGTGTCATGGGGGCGTGGCATCGTCGGTGGCGGACGGAGGGCGGGCTGGCAGTGTCGGTGTCGTAGTGATGATTTGGGCTGAAATCGTAGGAAGGGGGAGAGGGATTAAGGAATTTGGGGGAAAATTGAGTTGAATTTTTGGGGAGAGAGAGAACGGAGGAAAGTGCGTACGCATCAGTGCGTATGAGAAACGCACTGATATATATGCCCGCAAATTCCTTAAGAGTGGCGGTGTCCGGTTCTGGTACGCATAAATGCGTACGTATTTATGCCCGCAAAAGCCCAAAATTTTTTGAGAAAGGCGTATATGCAAAAGAGCCCATAAATAAAACCTATCCCCTTCTCTCTCATCTCTGGTGTCTCTCTCATCCACATTCAGCCATGACCCCTTAATCGTTGATGGACCTGGTGGGCTTCGGCATAGCGGTGGGCTGCGCCGCTCTCTCCCTCACGATTGCCGGGATCCTGGTGACCAAACGAGTCAAGAATCGCCGGAAATGGTCGAGGATCCTCGAGATTCTCGCGGAGTTCGAGGGGGGATGCTCGACGTCGACGGCGAGGCTGAGGCAGGTGGTGGGCGCGATGACCGTCGAGATGCACACAGGCCTCGCCTCCGACGGCGGAAGCAAGCTCGGCATGCTTTGCTTTGTGTGTGAAGATTGGTAGAGATTTGGTTAGGCTGCTGCAAGATTTGGTTTTTATCCCGGAATTTAGATAAATTTGGAAAGATTTGTTGTTTGATCCTAGTAAATTTTAGGTACCGGGCTTTACAGATATTTCACAGTTGTATTGTGTGAGGACTTCAAGTCAGTATTTTTTGCTGAGAATTAGTCCTGAAATGGAGACCCACTTGAGATTTTTGCTTAATATAGGGAAAAGTGAATCTAAGGTGACACCCTAGGCTCCCACCTAAGGACGCGGCCTAGAATCACATCATTTTCTAAAATTTTTTTGTGATTCGCTCCGTTAAACTTGATTTACACGTTCTTAAACCCAAACACACTAATTTTGGGGTGAATCCATTGTGTTTTGACCATTCGTTGAGCCGTGCAAAAAATCTATTCATTCGAAACCGTTAAAATTTCAGTGACTGGATAAAGGGTCAAAACACGACGGGTTCACCCCAAAATTGGTGTGTTTGGTTTTAAGAATGTGTAGATCAAGTTATTTTGGGGTGAATCCATTGTGTTTTGACCATTCGTTGAGCCGTGCAAAAAATCTATTCATTCGAAACCGTTAAAATTTCAGTGACTGGATAAAGGGTCAAAACACGACGGGTTCACCCCAAAATTGGTGTGTTTGGTTTTAAGAATGTGTAGATCAAGTT